TCCAGTAAGGGATGGAGATTCTCCTTGCCTTAGCTTTTCTAGAAGCAAAAAAGAAAAGATGGTGACTTAGTCTCCGTTTTACTAAAATCTAATCTAAAATAATCTGCTAGGTTCTTTCTTATTTCATATTAAAGTTCACTTTGGAAAACGTTAACTTCTACAGTTATCCATGACTCTCAAAGAAGCGATAATAAGTAGCATAGAGTTAAACACTGAAAATAAATGCTTTAATAAAGTGGGGAAATAGGAAAGTGTAGTTATTTCTGGCAGTTTTATACCATATAATTAATAGTTTTTTGTGTCTTGTAGCACAAATGTATGCAACCAAAAGACTTTGTGGAAAAAACTCCAGAAAATGATAGAAAGCTTCAGAGAAGACTGGACCAGATGGCTAAAGAATTAGCTGTACAAAAGACAGCAATTAATGATGGTAAGAACAGCTTTGGACTAAAATTCAAATATCTTAAGTTATTTCTTTAAAGCATTTGATGGGTTTTGTTTTTTGTTTTGGTTTTTTTTTTACTTTTGTGCATCTTACTATCAGAAATGAAGTTGACTTTTTACAGAGTTCTTCGCAAGTTTGTGGTATTAAGGCATCTGTAATGATGTTAGGTATAAGGAACCTAATTTTTTTAAGTGTTTTGGGGGGAAAAAAATGGCACTTCACCTGAAGCTGTTATAGCATGTAAATACTAATGTACAAATGCAATTTCTTTGTGTAGAAACTGATGTACCAGTTTTACTATTTGAAGACAATGGTTCACTTGTATACAGCCCTGTTAGTAAGATAAAAGATCAGTGCAGTGCAATGGAAAGAAGAATAAAGGAAATGAAGGAAAAAAGAGAAAATCTTTCTCCTACTGGTAAGAGCTTACATTTTACTTATCCATGAACATGCACAAATGGCTACCATTTTTATCGCTGAATTTCTGGTGCACTTGTCTTGCTGTGGCCTTTAGTTTCTTTCTATCAAAGGGCACAAGAAGTCATGGAAGACAATGTTTGCAAAAAGGAATTTCTTAGTAACTAGACTGCTCAAGAGGACTAACGTTTAAGCTGGACTTTCTAAACTTGTAAATTGATATTATCACAACTCGGTTAAACTTTATAGCGAGACTCTAAATCTTATTTCCTATTAAATTTTAATGTGAATGCTGTACTTGACAAAAATTGTAATGTCGTTACTCCCAGGCCAACAGTTTAAAGAGAAGTCTAAAATGGATGAGACATCTGTCCAGGTACTAAATAACAGGATTTTAAAAAATAAATTAGTTTGAATGACCTAATTGAATAAACCTAGTTGACCTCAAAATGCAGATTCTGGTGAATTAAATCTGGATTGCAGTTTTCAAAAAATTTTTTAGTGTTTGCGTTACTTTATTGTAAAAGTATTGAGGTCTAGGTCATTAGGTTTTGCCAGTTATTATAAAAACTGTTGAAATGTAGAACATCTTGGGGAGGGGTGTCAATCTGTAGTATTTCAAGTTTTAAGAGTTCTGTGTCAACTGCGCTGTCAGTTTATAATTTAAAAAGTAATTGTGGGAGGAGAGTAAAGAACCAGTGATACATAGATAAAAATTAATTTATTTTAGCCTGGCTTGTATTTGTTTACTCTTTGAGTTTTAGGATGATGCCTTCAAATGTTTTGAAAAGCATTTCTGCTGTATGAAGGCTTTGCTGCTAATTGCAGAATTTGACAGATTCTTCAGTCAAATGCCTCAACTGGCTTAGAAATGTCTATAATATTTTCTAAATGATTTGCCATCATTCTTTAGTTTCAGAAAAATGTGGTGCTTGAGTTACCTAGAAAAAAATTGCTTAAAATTTTAGAATATCTAATAGCTTTTTTGTTAGTATGTAAATTTGAGATACTGTTGAGCAGTCTATAATTATTTATGTGGTTATAGTTAGTCAGCAAAGCAAGGACTTGTCTATTACAAATGAGCTGTTTTGAAATAAGAATAAATGGTGTGGAAATCTGTATGTTTGCAAATAGGGATAACTAGTTTATTATTTACAAATTCCTAGCTTCACAAATGTCTCAAATACCTCCAAGTGGTTCACCAGGAGACTGCCCGCTGTCTACTTGTGTCTTAGCTAATTCAGAAGATGCATTGTTACCAGGTAACTAACACAACTTTATATATTACAGAAATTAAAAATAATTCATGGCCTGTATATCTTATTTTGGAAAATATGTTATACTGAAATGGGAACGGTATATATTTGCTCTATCATTTATATTTAAAGCTGAATTATTTCAGTTTTTCTTAACTGGCAAAGTATGTAGAAGTAAGAACTCAAGGAAAATGGAGCATGAGGAGTCACATTGGGTAAATGATTTGCCTTACTGCTGTGTTGCTTGCTTCACCTTGTGCTCTTTCCTCACACCATTCCCCACTAATGGCTTCTTGTCCTGGCATGGTGTCAGTCTTCTCTTACAGTGATCTTGTGTAGAATACAGAATGCATACTAAACAGTGTGATGTGGGAAGCAAGAAAGAGAACTGAATGAGAGAGAGACCTTAGGGAACTGAAATATCTTCCAAACTTTCAATCAAAGAGCTTGAATTTAAAAGGACACCTAATGTGTTCTCCAGCTTAAGTACCGTGATCAAAGAAATAAAAAGAGTAAAAATAAATTGGCTTTTAAAATGTTTTATGGTTGCAGATTAATTTAAGTTGTTTGTTATCAAGGTTCTTATTCTCATAAGTTTAGGGGGGTTTTCCTGTGTTTTGGCATAGTAGCAGGATGTAAGGGAGAAGATTATTGTGAAGGCTGCTGAGCTACATCAGTGGGCATCTTAACAGCATTAATCATGTGTGCAATGGGTATGTACTTCATACCTCACATCTTCTGTCAGTCACATGAGCAAAAGCTGAAGTCACATGCTGATGTTTGCTCTCATTAGAAAAGTAAGGAGAAGACAGTGTTCAGAATTCATAATGGGGCCACTTGAGTGGTCTGTCTACTCTCCATTCGACCCCAACAGTAAGCTATATCTCATGCTGTTTTCAAGTGTTGTATTTTGTTGACATCAGACAGTAATTCTGTCATGGTGGCTTACATAAGAACAGGGGCAGAATCCTGCAGCCTGAGACAGCTTGATATGTCTTCATGCAATTTTAGGGGGAAGTAATAGCTTAATACTGGAAGTAGCATAGCTGTGCCAGCGAACTTTTTTATTTTCGTAAATTAGTTGTGTGCTAATGATTTTAAACATAGTGATTTGAGAGCTTTACCTTGAGTATGTCCCTCCAACATTACAATTGCACAATGTAATTTTACATTAAGAATAGACCTCCACATCCTGTGGCAATATTCAGTGTAGCTTCCATCTGATGCTCTGTGACGGTGGCCCTTTTGTTTGTGCTTGTGAGATACATGAGAGCATGTTGGTTAATAATATAGTAATATATTTAATTTTTCTGAATTTAGCTAGCTACACCATATGTTTAAAAATATTACTTATATTTAGTAAGCAAATAACATCAAGACTTCTAAAACCTACAGGAGCACTTATACAGAAGGAGTATTGCTGAAACTTTGCACTTAAGGTGAATTTAAACAAAAGCATCTATTGCAATAATGACATTGTAGAACAACTGGATTTTAAACATTTTTTTCTGAATAATCAAAGATACTAGCCTGTTTCAGATAAATTTATTGTGAAGAGTTATGAATAGATTATGTCACCTCCCCCAGAGTTATTTCATAAGAATAGCTACAAGAAATGATATGTTTTTCCACATTTTAATTATTTTTGATACATTGTGTTGATGTGTGTGGTGTGATACTATGATGTTGTATTTAATTTCATCTTAACTGCAGAAACTACAAGGTGATGGTAATGCTGTGGTAGTAAAAATGTTTATTGAGTTTCCAGTATTAATATAGGTAACTATCAGTGTAAAATCATGCTGGTTTTCTCCACAAATGCAAGAGTGAAAGGGAGTTTCTCTGCTGCTTTCTTTCAAGAAAGCAGAACAGGACTTCACAGAATCACAGCATCACAAAATGGTAGGGGTTGGAAGGGACCTCTGAAGATCATCTGGTCCAACCCCCCTGCCAAAGCAGGATCACCTACGGCAGGTCGCACAGGAATGCGTCCGGTCGGGTTTTGAAGGTCTCCAGAGAAGGAGAATCCACAACCTCTCTGGGCAGCCTGTTCCAGTGCTCCATTACCCTCACAGTAAAGAAGTTTTTCCTCATGTTGAGGTGGAACTTCCTGTGCCACAGTTTTTGCCCATTGCCCCTTGTCCTGTCACTGGGCACTATTGAAAAGAGACTGGCTCCATCCTCCTGACAGCCACCTTTCAGATATTTATAGACACTAATAAGGTCTCCCCTCAGCCTTCTCTTCTCCAGACTAAAAAGCCCCAGGTCTCTCAGCCTTTCCTCATACGAGAGATATTCCAGTCCCTTAATCATCCTCATAGCCCTCCCTTGGACTCTCTCCAGAAGTTCCCTGTCTCTCTTGAACTGGACACAACACTCCAGATGAGGCCTCACCAGCGCAGAGGAGAGGGGGAGGATAACCTTTCTCGTCCTGCTGGTCACAGTCCACTCGTCCAACTCATACTTCCTGAGCTTCACTATGAGGATGTTATGGGAGACAGTGTCAAAAGCCTTACTGAAGTCAAGGTAAACCACATCCACTGCTCTCCCTTCATCTACCCAGCTAGTCACTCCATAGAAGGCTCTCAGCTTGGTCAAGCACTATCTCCCCTTGGTGAATCCATGCTGACTACTCCTGATAACTTTTTCATCCATGTGCCTAGAGATGGTCTCCAGACGGAGCTGTTCCATCACCTTCCCAGGGATGGAGATGAGGCTGACCAGTCTATAATTTCCCAGTTCTTCCTTCTTGCCCTTTTTGAAGGCTGGGGTGACACTGGCTTTGCTCCAGTCCTCAAGCACCTCTCCCGTTCCCCATGATTTTTAAAAAATGATGGAGAGAGGTGTTGCAACAACATCAGCCAGCTCCCTCAGCACTCGCGAGTCCACCCCATCAGGGCCCCTGGATTTGTGAGTGTTCAGTTCATCCAAATGATCTCTAACCCAAACCTCATCAACCAGTGGAGAGTCTTCCTCCAGGCTTTTTCTCTTACCTCCAGGGTCTGGGTCTTATCAGTAAAGACTGAAGTGAAAAAGGGATTCAGTAACTCCACCTTCTCTGCCTCCTCTGTCAGCAGGGCTCCCACTTCATTCACCGAAGGTCCCACATTTTCCCTAGTCTTCCTTTTGCCACTGATATACTTGAAGAAGCCCTTCTTGTTCTCTTTTACTTACTTTGCCAGATTTAGTTCCAAGAGGGCCTTGGCCTTCCTTGTTACATCCCTGCATACCCCGAAAACATTCCTATAGTCCTCCCAAGAGACCAGTCCCTTTTTCCACCTACTGTAAACTCCTTTCTTCCATACAAGTTTTTCCAACAGTTCCTTGCTCATCCATGGGGGTCTCCTGCCTCCTCTACTTGATTTCTTACTTAAAGGAATGCACCAATCTTGAGTTTTGAGGAAGTGGTGCTTGAATATTAACCAACTCTCTTGGGCTCCTCTACCTTCTAGAGTCCTAGCCCATGGAATACCTCCAAGTAGGTCTTTGAAGAGGACAAAGTTAGTCCTCCTGAAGTCCAGGGTCGCAATCTTACTTATCGCCCTGCTTCTTCCTCGTACAATACTGAACTCCACCATGTCGTTATCACTACAGCCAAGGCTACCATGGATGCTTACTACCATGTAAGAAGATATGATAGCTAAAACTATTGTAGCTTTCTGTCAACATAGAACATGCTTTGTTTCTAATCCATTTTCTGTTTAGTTTTTGATGACTTGCTGTATAATATCCAGAGAAGTGGCTAAATCTTTGTTTTCTTATGTCAGTAATTTCATATGTATTTTACTAAGAATATTGGTACTCTTTCTGTTTTGTTAAATACATTTATATTGCCACTTTTCATATGTTGCAGGAGAACAAATGGAAGACTGCTTGAACTCAAGTTATGATTATCTTTGGGGAACTGATAAATTAAAGAGACAGAAAACAGAGGTAGTAAAACATGCCTGTGATACTTGGACTGATATTCATGTATCCATGAGTGCGTCAGTGAATTCTCCCTCACATAGCTATGAGCAGAAGAGCTTAACACCAAAAAAACACAGCAGAAGAAGCTTAAGAAAGAAACAGATTTTGCAGCACACTTCGGATGATAAATTGTCTTTACAAAAGAAAGATCTAAAAACATTTCCAAAGCAATATCAGAAGGATGAAAATAGCATGACTACTTCAGTTGGAAATGAAAGTTCTCTTCACCAAATCAAGGGCTTGGGTCATATTATTCCTTCCAAAAAAATAGTTAAGTTAAATACTGTTCCTGCTTTGATAAGCTGTTTCTCTAATTCACCTATGAACAGCGAAGACTTAAATATATGTTCATCGGATAGAAGCTTCCCTGCTGACAGAAATGATTCTATTCTTGAAGACAAGAAGAGGAAGAAATTACAAACACTATCTAGTTTGAAACTGGCTACCTCAGAACAGGATGCATCAGGGCCTAAAGAGTTATTGCAGGCAGTTAGTACATATAGCAAGTCTTTTTGTGCTGAAGAGACTTCTTATGAAGACTTCTTTTCGTCATCTAATTTGAGTGAAAATGAAGTACAGCTACAAGTACCAAAGGAATCACAGAATCCTCCTGAAGTTTGTTGCAAAGACCCTTTTACAAGCATGGACTCACTTGATGTGAGTTTCTGTAAGCCACGTACTACTTCCAAGAAAAGTAGGAAAAAGTCTATTCCAGCAAATGATGTTTCAGTGAAGAAAAACTTCAAACCAGCTGAACATCCTGGAAGCATGCCATTAAATTATATGTCAGATAGTGAGAAAGCTGACACTGCAGAAGCTCTAGGTTCTGATGATGTGAATAGGCTGCCCCAGCATGCTCATGAAAAATCCTACAGAACCAATGTGAATTACGATACTCACACTGCTGGTAAGTTGCTACATAGAGCTGGAAAATGAAAAGATACGATACCGCATTAGATATACTCATGCAACTAAATTGCAAAATGAACTGCCATTCCCAAGGGAAAAAATATTTCAGATTACACCAAAAGAAGAAAATGCTGCAGTACTGACTTTATTTTTGAGTAAAATAAATGAATGCATAGGATCCAAAAGAACGCCCATCTTTTCCCCATACATTACAAACACAAAGAAGTCACAAAGAGATAAGGAAACTGTGCTCACAAAATGCAACAGAAGTATGTGAGCCTTCTTTTTCCCTAATGCTTGTTATTCTGTAAACTTTCTGCTGCTATTCAAAATACATTTAAGAAACCAAAGTCTTGCTGTTTTAAATGTTATGGTGCTCTTGTAAATTGTTTATAATTAACTCCTCATCATAGGATCCCATGTTCAAATTATTTTTATCTCACAAGTTAAAATTAATTGCAGCTAAGGGCATAAAATCTCTAGTGAAAAAAATATTTGAGTTAGCAATTTGTAACTTGTGCTATGATGAAGATTGAATAAGACATTGGAGGGCATGTGCAAGAGTTGCAAAGTAAGCATCATTTTCAATTATGGCTTTTTTATCTGGAACTGATCTTAGTTTTTAATAATAATTTTAAGAGTATTTTTTATTTTTGAGTGTTTTCAAGTTGGTTTAGCTTAAGTTATTTCAATGTAAATGTATACTAGAATATTGAATCTCAGGAGCTCCCCAACTCGCATTGGGGTAGTCACTTTCAGATTTTGGTATTTTGAGCTCTGTTTGTCAAGCTTTACATAGGGTTAAATATTTGTAATTGTAATAGTATATTTTAGTAATTTGTTTTCCCTAGAATTTTCTGCATCAGGGCATCCATGAATTATATAAAATTAATTATTAACTTAAAAGGCTCAACAAACTTGGTATCAGACTTAGGAAATCATCCAGTGGAAATATTGAATGGTGACTGTGCTTAGATCTGTGGCTAATAAGCTGCTGAACTGTGAGCTGCTATCTTGGGTTCACTATATCTGTATTTTAATACTTGGAGAGCATCATTATAACACAGTGTAAAAAAAAAGGTTTATGCAGGTGCATGTTATACAAGTATGAATGTACACCCATAAATGTGTGAACCCACTGTATGTACTTTTTGCCATGTGGCAATGTACCAGAAGATTATCCTTAAATCATGTATTTCTTAATGTCAAAGAACAGTCTGTTTTTCATTAAACAATCATGAAAACAAATGGGGAAGAAGAAAATGTTTACTACTTTTAAACTTAGCTATGACAGTTAATTTTAGAGGTAATTCTAACTTTTAAATTCTGGTGATTAAATTATGATCAATGTTCTAGCGTGTTATGCTTTTATTTTCTCTCTGGACAACTTGTTTAAGATAACAGATATTGGAGAAGGAGAAAAAGGATCAGTATTCAGCAAACAAAAATCTGATGATTATACTTTTTGTTAGGAACTTCTGTAAGTCTCAATTTGTATTTCTAGTGATTTTAATAATATTTGTGATTCATGCATGTGTTGTGTAGTCAAGTAGGACCTCAAGTTTGACAGCTCGGATGAACTCACTTAAAAATGGAAGGAATTAATAATGAAAGATGAGTTGTATTTTCCCTAATGCAAGTTCTGTGGAAGAAAATTTAAATCTTGTTTTAAACTTACTATTGTGACACTGTATGGTGGAATAATTGATTTTTATTAAATATAGATTTAATACTTCCTATTTTTTTGCTTAAATGTAAGTTATTTCTTGTCCCTGTTAGTAAATAAATAGTAAATTTCTTTGGTTTTCTGTATGCTGTACATGATTTGAAAGCTGGTAAATACAGTATATTATTTTTAAAAGGTAAAGAATTCTTTTCACTCATATATATACAGTTAGGAGTAATCAAATAACCACATAAAATTAATTATAACTGTATATATTTTAAATATCAAGTATTTTTCTTGCCCATTTTTTTCCTTGTGTTTTTAGTGGCACCCTTACCCAGTGTCTTTAATGACAAGAAGTAAGATTTTATAAGCTTTCTGAGCTTTGTTTCTGGAGGTGAAACAAATTTTCTATCCTTCATATTAAACCAGCCGCACCTGATAAATTTCAGTGCTCTGTAATCAATAAGTGCTGTGTAACTGGGATTTGTGTGTCAGTGCCTAAATTTTTAGCAGTTGCAAAATGAGGAAAATGGTGGCATTTCTGTGTCATGAATATAAGTTTATGGAAATGCAGTAATACTATCTTTTGTGAAAGTTAATAATCTGTGTTACTAGGAGAGTCTAAGAACTTATTTGTCATTCATGTTGTAAATTGCTTTGCTTTGAAATCCAGTCCATCTGCTTATAACTTTTGTAGTAGGGCTGATGGTAGGGTACTTGAACTGCATGATTTAGAATGCCAATACTTGCTCAGATTTGATGAATTCCTATGACTTTTCATCTGAAAGCTACAACAATAAATAATATTGGGCAAGGAATGCAAGAGTACCTCTTCTAAGCTTTTGTCATTCTAAAATCATTTAGAAATATGAACTGTGACTTAGCATTATTTCCAGTCTTAAAAATAATCAAGGCTTCGCTGAGTGAATTTTAGATATTTATGGTTAATGTGGGAAGCAAATATTTTCTTAGTTGACCAAAAGACATAAAATAAGCCTCATTATAGTGTAATTAATGTAGTTCGATGTTAAGATGGGGAATCTGGAATATCATTCTGTTACTTGGTGCAAAAACGATGAAGTTTAATTTAGATGAATGAGTTCTACCTGAGGTTCTAGGTGCTAGGTGTTTAATGCTGCTAAAATACTGTTTATGTCTTTAAAAACACACATGTAAAAACTTCCTTAGATTTGATGTGCCTTTTTTTTTCTTCAGTTTTGGAAGAAGACAAGCTCACTAAAAATATTTTCTGATGTCCTCTATCGACATTTTATTATGTCCTTTCAAAAAACAGCTGAGGGACAAAGAAGAAAACTATTTCTTGCTTGATTCCTTGTTTTGTTTCTCTTCACAAAAAGTTTAATTGTAACTAATTATTAAAATAAAAAAGGACAAATATTTCTGAATAGAGGAACAGGTTGAGTATTATTTTGATGTAGTGAAATTTATAAAGCCTGATGACACTTGTCCTAGAGCACATAACAAACTAGATAAAATTATTTTGAACCATTAGCACATTCTCTTTGAAAACTTGGTGGGCACATAAGCTTTCAGAAGACTTGAAGTAATTGTGTTCTGAATAGCAAAAACTTGGTATTTGCCCATGCTGGAATAATAACTACAATAATAATAATAACACAAGTTATTAAATGTTCTGTGCAGATGTACCTGAAGGATTACTAATGATGGCAAATTCAGACTTACTTTCTTTACAGTGGGGAAAATCATCTTGTGGATAAGTACAAAATAGTAGATATGATATAGCTTAATTTCAGCAACAGTTTGCTATGATATTCTTAAAGCAGAACACTTTGATAAAATTTTGATTAGATAGACATGATTGATTTGATAGAACAAAAACTAGTTGATTGTGCCTGATCATGGCTTTTCTTTAATTCGAAGGAAATATCAAATGGAATTTTTGAAAATATTCTGGTTCAAAACTTCACACTGGTGATAAGTGATCATGAATGAGTAGAAGCTTAAATTGCTAATTAAAGTCACTCTAATTTTTTACAATACTTCAGAGGACTAACAGAGCTGTTAATTTTGATACCAGTCATTGAGCAATGTTTTAGAAGAGAATTTAGGGGATCTAATGAACCACAGTGTTATGAGTTAGCTGCATATTTGAAATAAATTTTGGGATAACTATCAGTGGATGGAATTGCTTAAAAAAGTTCTGTCGATCTTATCTGAAATACACAAGGAAAAGCTACTAAATATGAAAACTCCTTACCTGTGATTGAGCAACTGCTTTAAAAAGAAGCAGTCGGAATATCAGACAATAGACAGTGAAGCTTGAGACCTACAGGATGGAAAAGCTGGAAAGTGTTTAAGGAGTCCTGATAGTCAGGAGAGAAGTAGGAAAAGAATAGTCTTTATTTATGTAATGTATAAGATCCCCAAGCTGATAATCAGAGGAGGTGCTGGACATTGTCCACTGTTCCTGCTTTCCTGTAAATATGAAGAACCGATGAGAATAACCGTAACTGGAAAGAGATCCAAGCATACAGGTCTTGAGACGTTAATCCCAACTGGGACAATAGCTGTGGAGCTTGAGCATTCAGGCCAAGAGTGGCAAAGGGAATATTACACCACTTCTTGCTGCTCTCCGCAACCCACCTCTCAAAAACAACCCCAAAATGGTGCATTGTCCTTTTACAGTGAAATGACTTACTGGAAGTTAACAGAGAGATACCTTGCTTTACCCCCATCTGCCTGGGGTAAAGCAATGGAGTACAGGATCTCCTGACATCCTTTGCAGTCCTCTGGTTGGTTGGGTTTTTTTTTCAAGATTCAAAATACATATTTAAAAATTCTGTTTTCCAAGTAAAAGGAGTTAAATTTCTTAGCTTTCTTTATTGTGTGGCAAGATCTGTTCTCCTCTTCTACTTGTCATCAGTCTTGCTCAGTGATTGAAGTTGATGGGCCTCAGTCCAATACTAAATAAAATTAACATAGTTAAGTAATTAGTTCTCCCTTTGTGACACTTTGTTTTTAAATATTGACTTTAAATTAATGAGTATACCTGAAAGCCAGGTTTACTTGTATTACACAAAAATGACTGTAATACTGTGTAAATTCATGTGAAACTTGCAACTTCAGCATGGAAAATTGATGAAATTTTTACTAGTTTAAAGGTTATAATTTTACAATAAGCAATCAGTAATGGAAAATGCTCATCATCATTTTTTGTTGCTTTATTTATTGGTTTTGTTCTGTCACCTCAAGGATTAAGAGTTTAAATAGGTAATACAGGAAAACCAAATGATTCTTAGTTATATATGCATTCAGACTAGTAAATATGGATAGTAGCCTTTAGTATTTTCCAAAAGTAATCAGAAGCGGCTTATTTGTGAAGAACTGAATTTAGGCCACTTTAATCACTAATTATTAAACTTTCTTTAACTTGTCTCATGCATTTTTTGAAATGAAAAATTAACAAATGTCCTAAAGTAGACTTCATTGAATTAAATTTGGGAAAAATTATCTACTTAAATCTTCAGTAATTAAAACTTCATTGATCAAATTATTCATCAAGGTTTTTCATCTTATGCAAGCAAGCTAATTTCTCAAATGATTCAAATGTCATCCTGAATGATGACATTTGAAAAATTAAATATATGTTAATTCACAAAATACGTGATGAAAAATACTGCTTTTTGGCAGTCATGCTAGAGTACATTCTTATGGATGGTGCCTTTTTATAAATAATAGGACTGATAAGTTTGCGTGTGCATGCAGTCTTTGCCTGCTAACAGCTTTCTAGTTTTGCTTGCAAAGTGTTTGAAAGCATGTTTCAGACTTTCAGGTCATTTCAGGTAAACAAAGTGTGCACTGAAAGCACTGACATTTCAATAAGAAAGTAAAAATGTATCCATAACTGCTTCGAACTCTCAAATACCTCTGTTCAGAGGAATTGCAAATTTTGTAATAAACAGAAGACAATTCAGCTGATTCTCTACTTGTAGTTAATATATGGTTTTCAAAATATTGGAAATTGGGAATTTTACAACCAGTTTGTTTACAAGGTCAGATACTGAATGATGAAATCAGATCCTTGAGTGTCATCTCTTTTTCCGTAACTGAAATACAATGGAAAAGTAACTGGTACAAATTACTAAACTTAGGTATCTTAATTGTACGGAGCTCTATGTGCTATGACCAAATAATTAATTGGTAGCAGTTTCATTTCACAAGATTGCATTTTTCATTTCAAGTTTCTAAATTTGGTTTCTAGGTGGTGAAAATGAAGTTTCAGAGTGTCATGTTGCTGATGGCCCTTGCAAAGTTTTTAATGAGCAAAAGACTAAGCAAAATGGGGCGTTAAGAAAACCTAGAAGACTCCAAAAGGTCAGTTTAAATGCACATATTTTTTAAGCTCTTTCTTTTTCTTGGAGAATCACTGAGTGACTTTGTATGTACAAAAAAGAGATGCATTCTCTATTTAAAAACTTTTCTGAATCTCACTTTCCTTGAAATGTTATGCAAATGGTGTTCAGAGACAATATGTATAACCATGGAACTCAGCTTTTTGGTAACTTGTGGTGGCAGAGTCTGTGCCAAGCTGAAGTCGTAAAGGAGGTTGATAAGCCAGCTCAAACTGTTGTAGCTGAAAAGCCACTGCAGTAACCTGAAAAGATGCCTATCCTGTTTGGAGGAGTTACTACATGGGGTAGTTTTTTTTGTTTGTTTTATAGTGCATCATCCCCAGTGAATGTTTCTGCAGGATAAAGATTTATGCAATATTTTCTTCTAAGTTCAGGTAAAGCTAAATTTCTTAACTTACTACTTGAGCTCAGTTTGGATGTAAAAAAAAGTGAGAGGACTGGGTCAGCACTTTTTTAGGTGTTTTTCCCTTGTAAAAAGTTTTTTCTAAGTAAATATAAAACTAATCAAGAAAATAGATAGTAGTTCTTTTTATCAGTAAGTAGTAAGTCATATAGTTAAAATGAGCACTGAATTGTTTTGAGAATGGGAAGTCCTAAAGCACTAAAAGGTGTCTGAGGTAATTAATTATATGAAATAAATTAGACAGGTGTTTCAGTGGTAGCTATTGGTGGAGTTTCAAAGAGGTTGATCACAGGTTTTGATCCTCTTTACATAAAAAGTTCTGAGAGGTGCAATTAGTAGGCTGTTCAACCTTTTAAAAATCCTGAAGATGGGATATTAATCTCCATGGACCAGTGATCTTCCCTGGGTTAAAATTATTTGACTTCTTGCCTGCATCTTACTGCTTGTTACTTCTCTTCAGTATTTGTTCACTTTCCTTTCCTAAATATATACATATATATTACTTGTATAACTAATAACTATTATGTAGAATGCATAAATCAACTTCAGCCTAGATCTATGTCCTGTAGAAGCGTTATAAGATAGTCTATTTTTTAGACTAAAGCAGCTATCCAGAACAATTCCATTTCCTGCCACAGAAATCTGCCTAAAGCTGCTAAATGTATATCCACAAACTACAGTCAATGGTTCTTCCTAAGGCTATCTGCAGAAATGGTGCTTGGAGGTTTAGCAGATTTGTTGGTACAGATGCCTTCTCCCGTGTAATTATGCTGCCAAGGACATTATACAGCCGTGCTAGTTTTGATTCATTTCTCTGAAGAAACGATCCCAACATAACTATCGCATGCTGAAGAGAAACAAAAACCAATATGAAGTTCTTATTTCTTGTTCCCCATTTTCAAACCTGGCCTTGCAGTCAAAGGTGGTATCTTTGAATGGTTCTGTTTGGCGTCTGCTTGCAAAGCATGCTCTGTGACGTGTTGAATGGTAGCAAAAGCTAAGTAGTAGCTGGAAAAATTCCTACTGAGTGTTCCGAGATCTCTTCTTTTATCCATCCATTTCAGCTGGGTGATAATACAATGTGACTCAAATATCAGCAAAATAGCAGTATATACTTTCTTTCATGTAATGAATTTTTTTTTCAATAGTTTTAAACGTTCCCAGTTGCAGTTTGACTGTGCAATTTCATGTAGAGACAATGTTGGGGGTGGGAGGGGGGATTGAAAAGTAGAAAGAACTTAACAAAAAGATTTTATGTGGTTTAACGAGACAGTCTGGCAACCAGATAGTTGCACTGAAAAGTTTTACTTCATATTTTCCTCAAGCGATTTTCTGTTAATATATATTAAATGCTTATGAAATTAATTATTAATTTAAGATCTATTTTCCATTGTTTGTATTCATACATACAAGCAAAATTTGTTGGAGGTCCCTAGGAAATTCTTAGTGAAGCAATTTTAAGAGGATATTGTTTTGAACAAAATCAGACTGAGTGTCTCAATTTTTGTAAAGAATTAAGTTGCAAACCTTCTCTAGTACCAGTCATAATATGTTCGTGAAGCTTTTTAAAAATAACCAAACATTACACAAATTTTTATAAACACTTTTTTTTAATGGCTGCAGCTTAAACATTGCAACATTTTGCTAATGGTTGACAACGTGAAAGTATAGTTAAATTAGGCAATTTTAGGTTGTTTCCTTTGCCCAAAGCAAAAAGTGTATGAGAGAAATAGCACAAATGTTTTAAAAAATATGATTTAATTGAATCATAGTATTATGAAGAATTTTCTAATATTTATTTAAATCTTAAAAAAAGTTTGTTTAAAAATATGAAGTGCAAAAGAAATGCCATTTCCTAGCTATTTTGATGGGCTAACATTTCCAGAAATTTGACTATGTGAATCTCAAGACCCTTTATATTTAAAAAAGAAAAAAAAAGCCATTAAATTGTAGTCATTGTTGAGTATATGCAGTTTTGTACTGAATAGTTCCAATACGAAGTTTCAGATCATATTGTTGGTGTTCCAAGAGTCTGTTTTAGGTGTAATCTGTTAAATTCATTACTTAGCTGTAAGTCTCTTCATTTGGGAAGCAATGTAAATTGCAGTTATTTTTTTTCTTAGAAAAAGAGTTTGAAATTTAATACCTCTTTAAAAACATTTTAGCTGTTTGCTGAATGTAATTCCTAGACAATATCTGAACTGAAACCTTTTAGAGTACTTTATAACTCATGCACTATAGTGAAGGCATGTCAGTAGGCATTTGGAGTTCACTCTGTGACAGTAAATATTAAAAAAGCCATACAAAAATGTCTTTAGTAAATATGACCTGGCATAAGTGTTAACATTATTTACTTCCATGGTTATTTCAATTTGTCATTTGTAGTTTCTTTAATTTAATATAAATCAAGCTGTAGATTCTGTATTTCTCTGCTGTGCTATTGTGTTACGCATTTGTTTTCTTCAAAACCTCATGCAGTTTGAGTTTCTTGTATTTTGTTTTAGCTGAAGTTAAAATCAAGAATGACTTTGTTCAGGTACTTTTATATCACAATTTTAGATTACAAGTACTCATATTTTCCTTCTTTATCTATACTATTCATATAGGCATGCTTATTGTACTCTTAACATGGAAGACTTCCCATCAAAGTTATGTAAAATTGTACTGTCAACTAAGAAAAGTCATGAAGACAGAGCAGTCGATAATAGCAGCAGTAGGCATGTTGGGGAAAGATATGTAAGATTTTTCAGGAGTCTTTAATGGCTTCAGGAACAAGTTTTTTGAATTTAAAACACCACCACCACACCAAAAACCCCAGGAGTTTTGGTGTGTTGTACATACTCAGATGCAGCACATAAGGACAGATTTGTAAAACTGGCCTATAGGTTTGAACTTCTTAGTTTTGAGACATGACAACACATAATTGAGGACAGTTCCAGATTCCTCTCATAGAGTTGGTAAGGATAAACGCTGTGGATTAATGCCTATAAATGTCAGCAGGTGGCTTCCCTGGTCTAGAATTCTAGATTGATGATACTGGATTGCAGGGATAAAATCAACCCTTTATGCGTTGTGATGCATTTTTCAGTTATTCCATGGAATTGAAGACATAGTTCTTTGGTGCTTTGTATAGGGAGGACAAAGTGAAATAACTAAAAATCATAAAGCCAAAAAGGTATTCAAACATGTTAGTTACACTGGTGTTAATTTGTTGGTATGAGGGTTGAGTGCTCATTTCATTGTTTAATGTCACAAAAATGTTTACATTTATCACAACACCCGTTGCATGTCACCAATGTAAACATTTTGTACTTGATCAGAGAAAGACTGATTATGAATACCCAGTTAACTGCCATTTTTATTCAAATAAAAAATTGTTTAATATTTTTGGAGGGATATGAGAGCTGACAGATATCTTTTAAAGGATCTAACAGTATCACATCACTAGAAATGCAATGGAAATTAATTTTACACTCAAGAAAACCCTTAAAATACTGTCTTCTGAGTGAATAGAAGACACTCTTCAACCATGTGAAAAAACAGTTAAGCATCATGAGGGATAATTAAAACCATATTTTCACAGGGAAGACAGTATGGACTTAACTGAAGTTCCCTCAGTTTTGTTTTTAAACAGATTCATCTTGGCTTGTGTTTTCGTATCTCTTGGATTTGGGTGAAGGTAAAGTTACCAACACTGAACTTGAGAGAAGAGAAATTTTTTACAAAGAATCTAAGCTCACACGGTGGAACAATAGTGTGAAGCAGGCCGTCATTAGATCCTGTTATCAAAATCCTCCTTTCTGAAAATACTTTATTCGTGGCAAAACAAATTTTAATATCCTAAAAAATCTGTAACTACAAAACATGAAGCATTTTGCAGACATTCAGGAAAGTAACTTTATGTCTCTGATATGTACATTTGTAGACTGTCTTAGACAGATTGTATTTGTATAGGAGACAACATCTTTTTATGTTTTCCTTCCAATTTTGGTTTTGTAGTTGCTTTGAATAGGTACATATTTTAAACACTGATACTTGAAATGTTACTGAGTTTGAGCTGCAAATGAGTATTAAGCTAGTGTGAATTAGAAAATGTGGAAGTATGCAAGCTCATTTACAGTTAACAGTGAAGAAACTGGAACTACCTATATGTTTACAGTCTGGGAAAGATATTTGATGTAATGGGGTTGCTGGACAAGTGGTCACTGAAAATTATTTAAACTGGTTGCTTCTGGGTGTAGTGATGATATGAGTAACTGAAGCTACAAATTATAAGAGTGCTTGCATGGTACCATCGAGAAACTTTTATGGTATTGACCAAATGTCCAGTGGTGTGATTTTATGCATATCTGGATTGATCCTAGAATGTTTTTGTTTACAAGATGACTCGTCTTACATGAAGTAATCCTGAAAATGTCTGACCAACTCTAGCTGATGACAATGTGAATAGTTGATTATTGTTTAACTGTAGTTATCTAGCTGACTCAACATAAAGTTGAAGAAACGAGTCACTGGGAAACAAGCTTTTGAGCAGACCACATTGTGGGACAAGTAACTTT